ATGGCGTGACCTGAACTGTTCGAATCATTTGCCGTGACACATGTCACATCAGCTTCCCCATTGTAGTATGTAGCGAACTCCATTGTCTGCAGAGGTATCCAATCCACTTTCAAAGCTAGACTTTCGAAACCGCAGTATTGCGGTTAAGTTATTTCTACATATCATAACAATAGAATCCCATAGTCAAAGGCGTTTCCAGGTACGAATCAAAGCAGTTCATGGAGGTATTCACGTACGCACATACTATCGGGCAGCAAGATTTTCTGCGATATCTAGTCCGTTATATACGCCTTCTCTCTGCCCTGGTCTGGATCACCACCGCCCCCTTTCCATCTCTCTCTCTCTCTCTCTCTCTCTCTCTCTCTCTCTCTCTCTTCCTCCCTTGTTCCACCCACCCTTCGGCCGCAAACTATCCGCACATATAATCCTGACCCTTTCACAAGCTGACCTGCTGTGCTGGCATATGAGAAAGTACGACTCCAAGTAATTCCCGGATTGGAAAGTTGCTACCGCGCACCACTAGCGGCAGCCACAGCGCCAGGCCGGCAGCCCTGGCACCCCTATCTCGTCCAGAGCCCCCCCCCCCCTCCCCTCGCCCCCACCTCTCTCTCTGCTTCGACTCTATATTGCTCGCTACGGAAAAGCTGTAGATGAAATAATTCCCGCATTCACGCTGTTATTTTAAAAACAACACATTTGAGTTTGAGGGATCTATGGTAAGATCGAACCGTAACCGTAAAAAATCTGATCGAAGGTGTACTTTACTACTTGCAAATTATGTTGTACATGTAAAACCTCGCACTTCTGCTCGTCAATGGATTTCAAGCTAATACGCAGGGATTGTAAATTTACAACTTTAAATCGGAAATGTACGACAATTTCTATGGACAATTTCCTTTACCCGGTCCAACAATTACTCACAGTGTCTTTAATCCATCACATTTAGTAGCATATTGGATGATACAGAAACAATATAATTGATGTGGAACAGCAAAAGTACTCATGTGAAGTTTTATTTTACGGCTGTATTGCATGCAGGAGTACAGTACGCTCACAAAGAGTAAAAATGAAATCAAGAGGTACGAGTATCCCCGTTCTGAACGTTTCTTAAAAGCAGGGCATCTTAATCGGCTGTTTGTCTGGGTCCGAGCTAAGCTGGATCCGAAAGTTGACCATCCCCTATTCAGAGTGTAGCGCGGGTACCTTGCCCCGCGCCCTGCCCGCCCCGCCAAACCCCGGGCGAGCGTTCAAGGCTCCCGTGCCCTCCCACCACCGCGCCATTCGGAGCACGATTCTCCATGTAACTTGCGCTGCATACAACGCGGCCATTAACTGGGCATTCTTTATCGATTGTAATCCGTGAAGCTATTCGGGCGGCGGCGCGGACCCCCTGGGGATGTAGAGCCACCCTCCCCCAACTCCCCGCCCCCTCCTCCACCTTCCTAGCCCGGCGAGCGCCACGAGACCGGGGCGCGTCCCCTTTCAAAGGCTCTTTATTCTGTGGCGGAAAGCACAACAATGGGGCGGCCGTCACTATCCTACCCGTCGGGCGAGGCGGCGAGCGGGTACTTAATGCGCGAAAACTGCTCCGGGCCAGTATTTAAACGGAGACACACACTGCCTAATGCTTGGGAAGACTGTTTAAGGAAGGAATCTCGAGGAGGGGAGATGGGCGGGAGATGGGTCATCCGTCGGCAAACTTTTAACTTTAGAAAGAGAAAGTAAAGCAAGGAAAGCACGCACCACTGGGGCTGCCAAGGTAGAAAACTACACGCTGCGGAACATATTCTTCGTCGTCCATGCTCTCGGCTCGTTACTCAAAGTACGTCCGGGGCAACACAGTCCTGTTTGGCCACCACCAAGCGGCCAGGCCGAATCGGCTTAGGAACTGGCCGAGCCTCTTGGCTTCAAAGACTTTTAGTGAGTCTCTTTCTCTCCCTGTTTCTCTCTCTCCCTCACACACCCTTTCCTAGCCTTCTAGAGAGTTTACGATGACATTAAGACGGAATGTGACGTCGCCCTGTAGTACCCAATTTATGTTGGGAGGTCCTTTTTTTTTTTTATTTCGCATCTGTGATCCCACAGCCGCGTCACGAGACAAAAAATGCGGTATAGGTGTGGTATGATGCCTACAGTTTTACTTTATGTTGCAGTTTTATTGGAGCCGAGAACCATGCTCATCCAGAGGCCTGAAGTCTCTTTGTGCGAACGTGATTTGCTGAGAACAGCTGCCTTCTTCAACTCTCACACGTCCACATGCTCGTCTTAAGCCCCTCCCTCTTATCCCTCTTCCCCCACTTCGCTCTCATTCTCCTTCTTAATCTTTACTTTTACGCCAGGCGCATCCTCGCCACGCTTTCTCCACCACTCTACTTCGCGCGTCTCTCTCCAGTACTCTTCCCCATCTCCCCCGCCCCCGAAACGCATCCTTTTGTATTCTGCACAACACGAGACACACATGTCACGGAATTTGCGTCAGCTTCGATAACAAACTAGAGCCCGCGCCGCTCTTCCGCGAAAAAATGCGTTCCTGCCTGCCTCTGTCTGTGACTGCTTGGAAACCAAGCAGCCACTTTTAACTGCAAAATCATCAGTTTTCAGAAGAAACAAAAACCTGTTTCACGCGACCAATTGAGGAGAATTATGAAATATCATTTTCCCCTTTCTTTCTATAAAATATTCAGATAAGATGACAGGGGCATTTATGTCACGTCGACCCGTCTATGTGTATGTCGCTAAAATTTGCTGCTAAATTATCGTGCAACTCAAAAGTATTGTAATAAGTGTCGCATATTAAAGAAAACAAGCAGGCCCGCCCTTCCGCCAAACGCAGTTGCCGGCTCCACTTCGCTGCGCCGGCAACTCCGTTCGGCAGGGGCCGGGCCTGCTTGGCCTGCCGGCGGCGATGGTCGGGCCTGCGGCCCGACCATTTCAGTCCCGCGATTTACTGAAGATCATAACCAAATAAATAATGTGACCGGTAAATCACTTTGCATATTTGGGTAAACTAACTTCCGGTGGGGGGCCTGCGGCCCTAGAGATTTGCTCCTTTCACATGACAAAAGACTGTAACGGGGCAACACCGTGACTACACCCCACCCTTCTGCTTTGCTTCAGAAAAATACAAAAAAAGAACCAGCGCAGTTTTTACATTGTATTGTTTGTCAAACTGTCTTAAAACTTGACTTTTTGCCATTGTTTTCAATATATCCACCTCTAGGGCCGAAACAGTGAAAGATAGGGCAAATCCGAGGGTAGTTCCTGATTCAGAATGTGTTGTTTTGGGGGGGTACTTCCTCGTCCATTTTACGATTGGAAGCCTTCTAGTACGTCTTTATGTGCAACGTAGTCATTTTCTCCGTATTTCGGTCGAAAAAGTCACTCTAGCGCCCAAACGGTGCAAGATAGAGTCGAACGGACAAAATTTTCGCCCAAAGGGCTCTACTTTTACGAGTTACCCCTTAGGAGACCATAAAAAAAATATTTTTTTCCTACTTTTTAGACCAACCCCTATTTCTTTGTTACCCCCTTTCACCCCTTAGGGGTGGTTGCCAGGATTTGCACCAGGCGTTTCGTTGTCCAGGAGTGACCCCTAAGATACCCT